CCCCAAAACCCCAAAACCCCAAAACCCCAAAACCCCATATCAATTAATTTAAATTGAAGAAGAGTTATTCAGAATGAATTCTTAATGCTTTGGCTTATGAGTAAACATCTTGTTAAACTGTTTCACACTGATTTCCTTCATGTATGCCTCTCGTTCTCTCTTAGCCTTAATTCTGTCATTGAACTTTTTCTTGTCAACTTTGACTGTGACTATAAAGGTTGAGATGAAAAGATTATGAATACATACCATTGAGTGCTTCACCGATATTCTGGTACTTCTTTGTGCATACAAAGAAAGTATAGTGGATAACTGAGCCATCAAGAGCTTCTTCATCAATGAAGATCCTTACTGATATCTCCATCTCTTCTCCAGAGAGAAGCCTTCTGAGCACTGGTAGTTCACAGGATACCCAAGATTTCTGAGGTTTGAGATAAGGCTCCTTCGGCCATTTGTGGTCAGCCATATTTTTGACTCTCCAAGTTTTGATTACTTCGCAACCAGGGCTTGCCAATATAACGTATTCTTCATTGTTATTATTAAGGTAGTCATCTTCTATAATAATGGTTAGGTATATTTCCAAAAGCCAATGGTAAAATTCAACCAAGAGGGAGTGCTAATTTTCCTCCCAATCTAAGATTTACTAAAAAGAATGTCTGAGAAAATGCTTGGGTCTCAGGCCGGAGTAGAAAATTTATATTTTTGTAATTCCAACTAAATTTATGTCATTTTTCACAGGCATGAAGCTATAAATTTTTATTCTTAGAGATCAAAATAATGTTAATTTTAAGTAATCAACGAGAATAATTAATCAAAATTTATTCTGGATGCGTGATACTGCCTGAATAGTATTTAACACAGAGAAAGTTTTATATAATCTTAATTCATTTGAAAGAATCGGATAAGACTCTTAAAGATAACTACTAATCCTTATTTAGTGAAATAATATCCAGTGATTAAGCAGATTACAAGTCTACTAGCTCAGAGATGATTTAGTAGTTTCTAGAATTCTTTCGAAATTTCAAACTAAAAAGAGAGAGATCAGATGGTCTTCTACCTCGTTAGATTTGGGGAAAACAAGTAATCTGCAGTCTTGATTACACTTAGCATTAACCTCAGAACATAAAGAGCTACTTGGATATAATTTCCTTAAGCCAAATTACTTCATATAAGAATATTCTCAGAGCAAATCTTTATTTTTAAGAATCTAGTCTTATTAGCATTAAAACTAAAGCCCACCTGAGTCCATGAAATTTTTCTTGCCACTGGTTCCACTATTATTCTGGCTCTTGGTGACTACGACCATCTTGCTAAGCTGGTAGTCATTCTCTATTTCACCTGTAGAGATACTCTGCTTTTTGAGCATTGGGCTGTCATTAGTAGACCCAGTGACTAAAAATTCTTCGGAGTCTTCTTTCTTGTCACCCTCAGGATTCTATTACCACTGTAAATTTTCAAAATATTGAGAATGCAAAATATTTACCTGAAAATACATGACTTCAGAAGCATTGGTCTCCAGGATGGAGCCTAAGACCTGTTCTGTAAAATTCTCTGATGAAGAGTCCTTGACATATTCAATAGTTTCATCAATGATGAACTTAGCCTTAGGGATTGGTGTGCTCTCCTCTTCTTGGTACTTAGCCTCATCTATCTTAGGGGCCCCTCGATAGACAGAATTCCTAACTAAAGGCTTATTATTATCATGAATGAGGACGCCATCGACATCTCAGTGGTCTATAATCCTAAAATCGAATACACGGGTGGGTTTTGGCTCAGTCTCATAGTGCCCACCTCTATATGGAGATGCTCGGACTTTCTTCACCTCCAGATTATTATTTTCTTCGATATTTTCATTACAATCAGAGATCTCCTCTGAGTCATGATCAGAGCTAGAGAGCTTTGAAAGCTTGATCTTTCCCGCTGCCTCTTTACCTTTGGCCATTTTCTTTTTATTTTGACTTTTCTCTGCATCTAGTATGATCTTGGTTTGAGATCTTTTAGTAACCTTCTTCATGTGGTTGAGCATATGAATGTCTAAAAAGTCAAACTTGGTATATAGAAATCGCTTGTCCAAGTCAAAGATTGAGGGTACCTTTAGACGTCATCTCCTCGGTATCTTCCAAACTGCCATGGAAGCTATCACTGGATTCTTCCTTTCGTGGTTCCATTTTTAATAAATTTGTAAAATTTTGGGTAATCTTGGGGTTTTGGGGTTTTGGGGTTTTGGGGTTTTGGGGTTTTGGGG